TAGCCCTCAGCCAAACAAAATTACGAATCTATCCTACCGCTGTACTATACAGCCTCGCAGTCACTCTCGGCAGTAGAATTCAGCAAGTCATTGCAAGAGTCTCTTACATCATATGCCGCAGCCAATTGGGATAAGGCAGACTCACCGGCCCGATTTATCCCTTTAGCAAGGCCCCTTTTTTTTTCTCAGAGGCTGGGGCCGTGTACTGGCGAGGAGTTTCTTTTCAGCAAGGCTGGGGCTGTGTACTGGCGGATTAGCACAAATGACCTTTGCAGTTTGGGGCTGCAGCTGATGAACTCCATCAACGGCCTGCGGAGCAGCCCAAACCCCAAAAGTCACGGCGCCGTCCCGCGGGCATGCACTGGGCAAGGTACTGGCGGTTTAAGAAACAGGAAGCAAATCCAAAGTTGGGTTGAAGACTCATTGCAACGCATGCCATCTCACAGTGTACACTGCATGCCTGTCGCATCGAGCACCAGCTCATCATCACCCTTGTTGACTCGATGCTCAGGTGATGTCTGAAGACGATGATAGTGAAGAGATGCGGAAGAGGTGGCATGAAGATAACAAACCATGAGCAAATCTTGAAAGCGTTTCTAACTTTCTAGTACAGTAACTGTGATTGAGCAGCAAGGCTAAGTAGAGGAGGATGATTAGAAAGGTGATTTGCAACTGGAAGCACTTGCACTCTTAGATGGCACAAGGGGGAAAAAAAGGCCCAGCGTCCCATTCAAGATCATATTGAAAAAGGGGTATGGCAAATCCAGCACCTGTGGAATGAAGATTACAACAGATGGTGTACGGAAGGGGAACTAAGAACGAAACTCAAAGGAAACCATAACCTCTTTCATAGACGCCATCCCCATAGAATGGAGAAAGCTACTGAAAAATAAGCAGCAATGGCTCTGGGGAGATTGGGCTGCAACCAAAGACCAAGAGCAGCCTCAGGAGGTACTTAAAATTTTAGAACCAGAACTTCACCACAATAAATGGATCCTCTGTTCAATCTTTTCGCTTGAGGAGCCAGACAACCCTGCAAGTCTTGTCTCCCAAGTCCCTAGAGCAGAAGGCGCTTTCAGAACAGACAGAATCAGAAGGGTCTGAATCATAGAAGGGGAAAGGAATAGAGCATACAAACCGGATACAGCAATACAACATTTAGAAATAGACCCTACAGAATGGTCATGGAACACCCCCAGCATACTTTCGCCTGCAGCTAGGCGATATGCCTTAACAGACTACACACCCAGACTTGGATATAAATTATTCAACAAACCTCAGCCAATTTCAACAATAATAAAAAAAAGATGGGATAAGCATGAGAGCACTCTCGAAGGTTCATCTGTACACCCACACTGGCCCACAATCTTCAGCACTCGACCGGCCAAACTGGCCAGCCTCCTCTGGCTCGTAGCATTCAGAGCAGTCCCAGTAAATCAATGGCGTGCCCAGAGAAGAAGTAAGGGAAGCAGAACAGGCCAGTCAACCTGGTGCAAGGTATGTAACACACAATCCGAGGATTCCGAATCTCTCAATCATTGTTTCTTAGATTGTGAACACGCAAAACAGTTGTGGCTAGACATAGAACTCTCATGGAATTCTCTATCCAATAGAAACGTACTCATCAACCCCTCTACCATACTCCTTCACTCAGATCAATCCTCAACTCTAAAAGGTTTCGACTACTTCCTCTTCTCGCTAATCAGAAAAGGCACCCTATGGGCCATATGGAAAAGGCGTTGTCATCTAACCTTTAACGAACACCACGCCCCCTCAGAGCCTCCCCTAATTACCATCAAACAGATAATTGAAACAGAAATCCTAGCTCTATGGGAAAAAACCCTAAAGCAAATCCAGACCCTTCTGGACAAAAAAGAAGAAAATATCAAAAAATTCTCAATCAACAAGCTAGGCAGCGGCAAATTAGGCTCAATCGAACGAGACAGAATAAAATTCTCTAATTGGTTAATCTGGCCCTCATCAACCAACCAAGGACAAAACCCTAACAACGCGCAGCCTACTCCCCATAACACCCCCAAGCCAACCCACCCACACACATACTAATCACAACAGAAGAAGACACCACCTGAGATCCCCCACATTGTGCACCTACACACCTCAGGAATTCCCAACTCCAACAAAATCTGTTCCCCCCAACTGTAACACAATCCCTCCCTTACCACATTTTTCCTCGCTCCCCCGCCCCTAGCCCAAAACCCCAAGCCCATCGACCCAAAATCACAAATCCCTCACCACTGCACAAACCCCCTCGGTCACCCCCCCCCCCCCCCCCCCCCCCCCTCTCTCTCT